ATTATAAACTATGGAATATACAAAAATTTTTTTAATTCTATATGGAATCATAAAATTTTCTTTTTTTTTTTTGCTTGGATGTGAGGAGTTTGTAGAGAATAAACTTCATCATTAGTAAATTATAAGATGAATTACTTTTTCATAGTTAGGGACGGAAATTTAGTATACATATAATTATAATAAATACGTAATTATTTAGATTTTAGAATTAAAAAAAATTACACAACAGAAAATAAATAAATTTTGTCGAAAAAAAATGAATTTTTAAAATAAATAAAAACTTATTCTAAATTTTAATTTTACTATACAAATAATTTTTTTGTTTTTGGGTTTCCTATTTACAAATATATTCAGCACACTTAAAAGTAGTCCTTAAGTTTAAGTTTAATATTTTTTTTTGTTATTTTGTGTTTTAGTAATTTTTATTACTAATTTTAATTTAATTATTACTAAAAATTCTAACATAATTTTACTTAATTAAATTAATTTTTTTTATGATTTTTTAAATTTTTTTTTTATTTTTTTAATTTTTTTTTTTGGATTTTTATATAGAAAAAATAAAAGTTTTTATATTTTTGTTCTTTGTTTTGTTATTTTAAATTAAACCAATTTAATTTACAATTTCTTTTATATATATGAATGTGTGTATGTATATGTATATATATGTTAGTTATTATGTATGTAGCTTTTTTTTTGATGAGTAGAAATAACAAGTGAAATTGGTATATTATATCAAGTATATATATGTATGTTCTGTATTATTAACAGGTACATACATATTATATATTTATATAATTGTAGGAAATTTTAATATTTTTAATTGTTTCTGATTCTTATATGTTATATATATACATATCTGATATATTCATATTATGTAAAATAAATATTAGTTGAAATATTATTAAAAATTAATGAACTATATACTTAAACATCTTATCCTCCAAAACGAAAACTTGCGAGTAAAAAACTGTTTAGCCACTTGATTGCCTCATTTATTATGATTCACTAATATGTATGTATGCGTATTTAAGTCAAAATAATATTTTATTATTTTGTTCATATTATTAATGAACGAATAAAATGTTTTTAGAAATTTGAGAATAAAAATAAATTTGAGTTAAACCAATGGTTTTTAAAGCAGCACTCTTCCCTTTGAAGCAAGTAAAAATGCTGCTTTTTAAAAAAATCTATTTATTATATTCAAATATTTCAAATGATTGCATACAGTTAGGATGAGAGAAAAAAATAATTTAAAGAGTCATTTAAATAATGGTGAATTCAAAGGTTAATTGCCTGAGTTAAGAACAATAATTATATTTTTTGATGGCATGCCACTTACTGTTACCTTTTGCTTATATAGATATTTTGGATAAGCTTGCAATTTTCGAAATATTAAGCGTCGAAAATTAAAGTTTTGTAAATTTTAAGAGGCGATAATTTAAGTGGTGATCGTGGTGGAAAACAACATTTCTTTTAACAAAATATTTATTGTTGTTATTAAAACCTAATTAATCAGTATTTAAAAGCTGTTAAAATTTTAAATTAAATTGGTATTAAAAATTTAAAAAAAAAATGGATTTTAGATAACGGTAAATTTTAGGGTCAATTTTGTGTTTTTAAAGTTCAACTATACTATTCAAGAGTATAGGAAGCCAGCTACTTTTTTTTTGCGTTTGCTTAATTTAAAATATGTTTTTGGTTTTATTACTGGCAAGGATTTCTGAGTTTTACGGATTTTATGAATGTTTAGAAGGCAACAAAGTGGATTAAAATACTCGCATATCTAGACTTCGGAGAAACAAAATAAAAATTTGTAAATGTAATATAATTAAATTTAAATGCAAATATATAAATATTAAAGTGAAGAAATATCACATTTGTTTATTTTTTTCTCTTCTTTTTTTTTTTACTAAATTGAAAATTAATAATTTCTTACATTACTAAAAATATTTTCATAATATTTATTAAAATTTAATTTATTTCTTTAAAGTAAAATTAATAAACTATATATAATTAAGATATTTTGCTATACGTCATGGCGAGTTAGTTTAAAAATGTTGGATATAAATTATCTAACAACATTTTTTATTAAGTTAATAATATTAAATAAAAAGTCAATTAGGTAATATAAGTATGATTAATAAAAAAATTTAAAATTGATTTTGTATTCGGAAATATATGTATGTATGTGCTGGTATAAATTTTAGGTTTGAATAATTATTTTGTAAATATAGCTATAAGCAAATTACATTTAAGTACAAGGGGGTTTCGTTTATTCAGTTCTAGAATAGTTCTAGCTTGTAGCACGTTCGAAAATTCACGCTACATACACTGAATATATAGATTGTTCGGAAATTACTGGCTGTAATAAAGTGCGTTCGGAAATTCAATCTGTAATAAAGAAAAATTAGAAATGTAGCGCAGTAAAATTAAAAAAAAAAAATTTAAATTTCAAAGTGGTAGATTCAGGTATTGAAGGGTTATAAAAGTAAGTTTTCTTTAAGTCTTTAAATCTTGTTTTGCAGCCAATTGGAAGGCGAGAAGTATTGGGATACAATTTCATAAACAATTTGATTTCCGTTATTTTCGAATGACGGATTATTTAGAGGTTTCAGAATTTGAAGACTGCGTAAACAAAAAAAAATTAGCTAAAGTTTTTGTATACTGTTTAACGCTGCGACTTAGAAATTTTAGTTCTAATTTAAAGCATTCAGCGCATCGTGCATAAACGAAAGCCACCACATTTAAAATTGTAACAATTTTTTTTTAATATTGAAAGGAACTGTCGAAACCATAGAGTTTCAAGCAAATTAGGACTAATATGAGTATTAACATCTTTGAAAGTTTTGATTAAAATTGGTGGTTATAGACGATTTTATAAAATTGGTATTACCGTTTATATTTTTGTTAAAATTGGTGAAGAATTTTCAAAGACAGTCTGAATTGAATCAAGACTTAAATTTTTACTTAGTTTAATTGTTTTTGAAAATTTTAATTAAACATAAAAATGAACATACTTATGGATAAATTTAAATTTTATAAATAAATAAAATTGGAGAAATGTAAAGATTTTAGTGTTGCCGTTACAGCATTTTATTTTATTACGAATTTTATTAAAAATATTATAAAAAAAATTATTTGTTGAAGATAGCTGTGTTACAGTAAGTTCCTATATGGTAAGCTGTGCTATAATGTAGTGTATTATTTTTAATATACAAGTGAATAATTATAAAATATAAACTGTTAGCAAACTATTTTCGCAAATAACAAAATAATTTGGTATAAATAAATATTATTGACTATAATTTTTTATATTTGTTTTTTGATATTCCATTTGTTTTAGATATTGTTTAAGAATTTTCCTATATATGTAGCTAATTCTTGTGTGTTTCAAACCCATAAAAATAATTAAGTTTATAATTACAATTATATAGTGTGTTTAATATATTGTATATTAAGGTTAATTAATTAGAAATTAAATTATTATTCAAAAATATTTTTAATATTATTAATATTGCTAATAAAATTTTCTAAATTAATTAAATACAATAATTTATTTTCATAATAGCTATACATAATAATATTTTTAAAATATAGAAAAACTAATATTTACTTCAATAAAATACTATTTTTTTTTTTTTAATTTTTTGAACTAAATTTATGTATATCATCATAATATGTATATTAATACAAATATTTTGGCAAAGGAACATTATTATAATACTTAAGAAATTTTTGATTTAATATCGCGCTAATACAATAAGATCATTAATTTAATTACTTTACGAATTTTTAACAAAAGAGGGAGCAATTCTATTGTGTCATAAATGAATTGAACAGAAATAGACTGTCACTAAATTTTGATACATCGAATTATCGAAAAAAAAGCGTTTAATCATATAAAGAATTGAGTTAGAGCGCTTATGAAATGAGATTTTTAATTAAATTTTAGTGTGCTGTTGGCCTTGTTTTATAATGCATTTTTGTGCAATTTTTAATGATAGAAAATAATTATAAAAATAAAAAATAAATCTGAAGTTCACCATAATAAATGAGTTTTAAATTAACTGTTCTCATCAGACAAAAATTGTAATTTCATTAAGAATTGTAAATGAGTTGCGAAAAAAATTTAATCTAAAATTTATGCAAAAATAAAGTTAAAGAATTTATGGATTATATAAAGAATTTTATGACTTTTTAATAAAACTTTAAAAATGTATTGAATTCGAATTATTTTATCAACGTTATTTTCTTCAAATTTGTCAAAGGGGTTTACGCACATTAAATATTGTTCGCATGGCAGCTATAGTGAGTTCTGTTTGTAATGGAAATAAATTAAAGGCTATTCAGTACTCATCAAACAAAATTTATGAAAAATATTTAATGTATAAATCCTGTCTGTCATTTAAAAGTTGCTTAGAACGCTCCTATAGAAACATAATTTGTTAATAAATATGGGAAGATTTTTTCAATAATATTTGATAAGAGAATTGTGCAAATTAAATTGTATTTCCCGACAATATTGTATTTAAATTGTATTTTGTGATTGAATAAAAACTAATTTTTTTTAATATTATTTTTCGGGACGATATCAAATAAAATTGATATTTGAAACAAAATTTATAATCAGTTTATGGGAGATGATTTTTTTTTTTTGTGAAAATAAAATGGAGAAAAAATTTATAAGTTCGAAATTTCACAAATTGTTGTGCGTTACCTTAAATGTAAATTTTATTTTTATATTTTTTGTTATTTTTTTTTTATTTTATAATTTTCTTTTTAATTTTAACTATACAATTGTTTTTTTTTTTTAATTTTGTTTATAAAAATTTTTGTTTTTTTTTTCTTTTCTTTTTTATCCTTGATCCTAAGATATGATATATGTATGTATGTAAATGTTTTTTTTCATGTTGTGATTTTTATATTCAAGAACACAAAAAATGGATACGTTTTTCTTTTTTATAAATTTTAAAAGTAAATTTTTTTTTTGTTTTTAAGAAATACAATATAATATTTTTAATTTAAATACAATTTAAATTTTCATAAATATATTTTTAATATACATACTTTATATTTTTTGTACAAACTAAAGGAGAATTTTATTTAGCAGTCCATTTTTAGATTTATTTTTTATATATCATATACGTTTATATTATATGTATACATATATATTAAGATTTTTATATTTAAATTTTTAATATACATATATTTATATATATTTTTAATTAATATTAAATTTTTATCAATGTATATGGCCGTTTTTTAATACCCAATTATATAGCGACATTTGCGCTCTAGCTACCCATTCAACATTTGCTCCAACACTGCTTAATGTCATATTTAATATTTCCATTCCAGGTCCATGACCAAATCTATGTACTAATGATTTAAGCTAAAAAAAAATTTAATAAAATTTTTATTTTATATTTTATTTTTATTTTAATAATTACTTCATCATAATCAAATTTTGTGGCACCATATTGTGTTATTGCTGATATAACTTTTGCAAAATTAATTGTACCTTGACCTAATTTTGATTGTAAATCATACCATTTAGCTTGTAAAAATCTACAAGCCATTGCACCACCAGTTGGTGTACCTGCAATAGCTTCTAATACTTGTACTACTTCTACAGTTGGTAATAATGTTACATGTGATAACAAACGATTTTGTAACCATGCATCTTTTGTTTTACCTAATGCACGTAATAATTGCATACGTTCAACAAAACCATCAGTTGAACCACGTAACGATAAAAATTTATTCCAACAATGTTGCCAATATAAAAATTCTCCAGATAGGACAGCACCAGTATAAACCACCTTTAATTTAAAAAAAAATGTATAAATATTCAAGTAACAAAATCTTCTATTTGAAATTTATTTGCGTTACCTCTCTTAAATTCGGTGGTATAATTTGAGATTCATTGTTTATATGTCTATCTAAAATTTCTTTAGCTGTCGTTATACTGTCACTATCTTCCCATAATACTGAAGCTAATAAAACTTCAGGCCGCAGTAGTCTAAAATATTTATTTATTTTGTAAAAAAATTAAGTATACATTTTAACAAATTAAACTTTATATAAAAATATACAAACTCACTTAATTTCATCGGTGCCCAAATCTTCCCATTTCAATTCTAATATTGGTTTATTTAATGTTAATTTAATAAACTCGGATAGCATTAAGAAACATTCTGAATATTTCAATATTCTACGCCAACGTTCTAAATGTCGTAAAGCAGTTGTCATTGGTCCCCAACTTTTTTCCTTTGGTAAATACATTACTAAATTCATTGTAATCTCACAAGGCATCAAATTGGCATGACATAATGTAAATGCATCCGAAATTAAGCCCATTCGATCCTTAAAAATGAGTTCAAATGAAAAAAACGAAGAAAAATTAAGTTTGTTAACGCAAAAAGTTGACAATCTAGTCAATGTTTTACCTTAGCTGACAATGTTTCATGTTCGTTTAATAGAACCATTATTAAATTTGACCAATTATCTTCATTATATAAGACTCTATAATAACCGTTTTGATGTGCGTTCATTTTAATCCATTTTACTCCTTCTGGAACTTTCAATGTAACTTTTGGAATATAAGTTAAAAGAAAATATGAAAAAAAAAAAATTTGTTAGTTTAGTAACACCAGTTATTAAAAAAATTGAATTTTAATTACAATCAACACTCTGTAACCATATTGTTCCACTTGTATTTGCCATATCTGTTATATATGAAACCGGAAATATCCATTTAATTGGTTTACCAGTTTTATTTTTAGGTGCTGGTGAACTTGTCGTTGTGGTAGTTGTCGTTGATGTTGTAGTTGCCGTATAATTATTACCATCATAGTTGTCGTCGTGTATGGCTGTTAATTCAGCTGGTTGAAATGGTTTCTGTGATATTGAAACATCACCGCCTACTTTAACAACTGTTAGTAGTGGAAAACCTGGTTGTAAAGTCCATAAATTCATCATTTCCTTCAAAAACAAATAATAAATTGTTATAAACTAAATAATTTAATAGCAATAGAAGTCTTTAACATTTTTTTTCTTGATATTGTAAAATCACTTCGTTGATTTTGTGTGTTTACCTAATATTATATACTTTGCAGCAGAGATGCTTTGTATAATTTAATTTAAAATTAAACAATGCTCAAGTAATTCGGTTACCTTAATATTTTTGGCTCCGTTTCCTTTTTTAGTACACAATGTCCACAAATCCAATGGTTCAGCAGTCTTATAGCGATTCGTTTTTAAAAAATTACCAAAACATTGTCGGAATGAGTTATCACCGATTGCAGCATGCAACATTGCAATGACTGCAGCTGTCTAAAATTATAAAATAAAATTTTCGAAACTTTTTTTTAAATAAATTTGTTCAATTTTACTAGCAAATCAATAACAATCTTTTAAAGATTAACTTCATAATTTTTTTTTTCTTTTTACAATAGGGTTTTAAAAACTTACGAACTTTTAAATTTGAAAATTTACTTATAAAAGTATAGCGTTTAACAATAACGAGTGTATGGGGCAAAAAGTTGGGAATATAAAAAATTTTTGAAATTTTTATTAAAGTCTTCTGATTATATTAAAAATTTCAAAAAAAAAAAAACTTTTTTCTTTGAGTATTGTAACAAAAAATAAAAACTTTTTTTTTTATTGTTTTCAACATATTTAAAAAAATGAGGTTGTATTGGTATCGCAAATTCTTTGAAGGATGTAAAGTCTATATAATCGATAACAAGAAAATCTCGTTGTTATCGTTTGGATCAGAAATATGACGTTGTTGATCTAAAAATGTTTCCTTTTTGTTCTCAAAACACTTTTAGAATAGCAACGCTTTTCTAATCAACTAAGATAGTAGAAAAATTGTAAGCATGCAAAAAATGTAAGAAAAAAATAACAAATTTATGATGAAAGTTAAGAATTTGCAAATCAATTTTTTAGTTCAAATGATTTTGAAGTTAGGGAGAAAGGAAGATTTTTAACTGTTCAATATTCAGTTATAAGAAACTGTAAACAAAGATATCTTGTGTAGTTCCAGATTTGAAAAATGTTTTTGCTTCCATTATTTTATCAATAGATTTCAAAGAAATCATTGATCAATTTTTTTTTTAAATTTAAGATGTACGAGGAAGCAAATTGGAGCAGAATCTGAAAACAAAAGTAATTTAGAAGAACCTATTCAGTTCAAGAATTTTGTACTACAACAATCAAGTAGAATATTGTGTATTTGAAAAATTTTGGTTAGCGATTTTGAAAGTGAATAAATTTTGAACGAAATTTGATTCTGAGTAAGTCTAATTTTTGTTATATTGAATTCATAGTTTCTTAAGTATAATAATTATACTAAGATTTACTTAATTAGTTAATATTTAACCGGGAAAAAACTATGATTTTTAATCTGACAAGAAATTGTTTTGCAGCTCGAGCATGATACAAGCTCGAGCGCCAAAAGTTGTCAAAAACTAAATCATGGCTATGCGGGTTTCAAGATTTTTTAATTTTATATTTTTGCTGGTAACTTTAGGAAATTAAGAAATTTTCCTATTTTGTCATTGAAATTGGAAAAATTCTCATGAAGAATTTCAATTATCATTTGTTGGAAAGAAACTCGTAATATCTAAGTATAGATTAAGTAAAAACGCTACACGGGTATTACATACGTATGATATGGTAGAAAACTAAATAAAATATTTTGAAAAAATTTTAAAATTTGTACTCATGCAATCAAAATAATTACATTTATTATGGAAAAACAAATAAAATAATTTATTGAAATTAAAATTTAAAAATAATATTAAAACTAGTTATTTAAAATAATATATAACTATTTTGTAACTATTTTCTGATCCTTTTATCTTAATAACAACTAGTTATATACAATCGTTACAAAGAACTTACTTTATCAATATAAAAATCCTCATTGATTCCATCCCAACTTGTCCCATTTACAATACTTTTCCATCCATGTATGGCATCAATATCGAGTGCTTTTGTTGCAATACGAAGTAAATGTTTTTCTTTCATTGGCCAATCTTCTTTAAGTGGAGCTAATGTTAATATACCTAAGTATTTAACAATACCATCCCATAGCCAATTATCTTTTAAATGTTTTGGTGATGTAATACCACCAAAAAATTGCTTAGCAATTGCTTCTGAAATTTTAACAGCAGCTGAATGATGTTCAGCTGTTGTTATAGATTGTGGACTTGTTAAAAACGAAGCTTTTAATGTTACCAAACCTAATGATGAAATTAAATCACGATCCAAAGATGGTAATGCAACAAAATCAACTTTTGTTAATGGATAAGCCACTTCAAGCCATTGTTGTAAATATTCCAATACATCTCTAGATAGATGTAATATGAAACTTGAACGTATTAAAAGATCATTTGGGGCATAAAATGTATATGAGGGTGCTTTACGTATAATTGTTCGACCACCAATTGATTGGCTCATTGATGTTAAATTTTTACCAGATATTGTTTGATTATCTGTAGATGGTGCCGGCGTAGTTGTTGTTGTTGTCGTTATAAACGCAAACATATTTAATGAATGCGTCAGTGCTGTTATATTTTTTACCGGTTTTTGTAATTTAAACGTAAAATTGTCACCTAAAGATGATTTTGAATTTGATGAACGACCAAATAATGGTGGAATAATTGTTGTTGTCACTTGATATGTTGATGATGCTTGTAATGATTCTCGTTGAAAATCACTTACAACCCACGCTACTGCATCAGCTGGTACTGGTGGTGTTTCAATAAAATCATCTCTTAACTATTATATAATATAGAAGAAAAAATATGTTTGATGAAAGTTTTTTGTTCCTTTTAAAAAAAAATGTTTTCTTTTTTTAATTTTGTTTTTATCGAACTTACTAAACCAGTTCCCATATAAAATCCAACATCATCAGTTCCATGAACTATTGAATTTGAAAGGCCAATATGGAATCGATCTCTAAATATTGAAATTTTAAATGGGGCTCTGACATGTGATTCATCAAAACATGGAAAAGCTCTTCTAGCACCATTTGGTTTTAAAACAGTTGCTGCCAATAGTCTGTATACAAAATTTTCAAAATAATGAAAATTAATGAAAAATTTTAATTATTCTAAAAGTAAAAGTATTTTCCGGAACATTTTATAGATCGAAAATTTCAGCTCTATAAATTGTTTTTTGTAATATACTATCCTATTTCACAAGAAGTTGTTGTGGAAGTATCAAAAATTAAGACAATCAAAGAAGATTAATATTCAAAATGTTCGTCTTGAAATTTCTATTATTAATTTTTTGTTTTATTTAAAACTAATTTAAAATATAATTAGTTGATAAAAATTTAATGATTTCCCAAGTGTGATTTTAAACATCTAGAACATCGTTTTCGAGCTATTATCAAAGTTGAATTTTTTTTTTTGTAAAAAATTTTATAAGGGAAAGAAAATTTAACATGAAAGAAACAAATAATTCACCGTTTTCTGAATTCTTAATGACAAACATACATTATAGCTTTTTCGTCTTTCAATAGACATGCAATTTTATAACAGTATTCTGAATAATATGTAAACCATCGAGACTTTTGTGGATGTCTGTTCTTACAAAAATGAAAATTTCCCAACGGTAACAATAGAATTTTACATGTCAATAGTGCAAAGTTAGCAAAATTTTTATGGTGTGAGACACAGACACAATGTAAAGAAAAAGAAAACGTGCATGAAAAATCAAATATTCCTTTTTTACTTTTTAACTTATGGTGGCTATTAAAAAACTAGTATAAAAGTTGTTTTTCTCTCAGTCTCTTTTTGTTGAACTTTTTCTTAATGCAATAAAAAAGTTAGACAATTTTTTTTTTACATTTATGGTTATTTTTCATTTTTTTTTGCTGTTCTTTACCTTTGCAATCCATTCGAACTTAAATATTCATCGACATAAAATCCTTCTGGTTCCGGATTTAACTTTGAATACCAACGTAAATTTAATGTGTAATTTGATTTCTTTTTCAGTTTCTCTTTAAATTCTATATATAATTGTTGTCTTGGTGGAAATTCTAGTATTTTTATAATTTTTATTGAATATCCTTTTGTTGTTACCAGCGCCTGCGAAAATTTAATTTAATAGATTATAATATTGTACAGTATATATACTAATTTTGTATAATGAATTAGATTTTAGGCTATGATGTAAATATTTAATTTTACTTACTCTTTCGGTAACATTTAAGTCTTGTATATTTATGACTAAGAAACTTGTATCTTTTTCTACTAAAATTTCTATTGTCACTTGACCTAAATAATGAAAGTAAAAAAAAAAATTTATATTTTAATTAAACATGAAGTTTATATGTAGGGGTATGTACAAGACATGTCGAAAATATGGGTATAAGATTTTAGTAAATATTTAAAAGATATAGTAATAAATTTGGAATTTTACGTGAGTTAAAATAATGTGATTTCAAATGACTTTTATAGTCTGCATAATTTATACTAATTTATCGGCGTTTATTTTTTATTACTTAATCAAATTATCGAAATTATGTAACTAGTATGTTATAATATTAAGATACTATATAGCTATATTACAATAATTGTAAAATTTTCTCACTTCTACTTATATGACACTTTGTTCATTTTAAATTCAGACCGTTAAAATTATCCGAAATTCAAACGAATTTCACTGGAAATTTTAGAGAATTTTAATGTTGGGATATATATGTTCAGTCTACTTAGACAACTTTGTTATTTTACCATAGAAATATATTTATTCAATCAATAATAATATTTATTATTGAAGAAAAATTTAAGAATTGATTATTCTATGAGCAATCTAATTGATATGTACAGAAGATATTTTTTGTGATCTCCTTCCCATTAATTATCTCACGTTCAAAGTAAAATTACATATAAACACATTTAAAATGCTTACATATACAAATAATTGATTGTATTTATTTCGTTTTGTTTTATAGAATCACCCATACTTCGATGTCATTAACTTATTAATTTTTACAAATTTTTTTATACCTTTAACATCTAAAGTTGTTAAATTTGGATGTATTGTTACAGAATATTTTATTGGTTTTATAAATATTGGAAGATTTGGCTCTAACCATGGAAATGGTTCACCATTTGTTGCTATTGGATTAAATATTTGTGAACCATTCTCTCCTTCACCAGTATAACCGGGTGGCATTTTACCGGCACAAGAGCAATCTGAAAAGAGAAAATAAAAAGAAAGAATTTAAAATGGTAAAATATTTAGATTAGAGAGAAGAAAAGAATTTTATTTTAATTAGATTAATTCAAAGAAAAAAAAAACAGGGAGATCTAATAATAATAAGAGCAATTTGTCTGAGTTCGGTTTATATTTAATTCATGTAAAGGAAAACTTCAAGTCCTTTATATTGCAAATAGATTTTTTTATTTGATATTTTAGTTGGTATTGCTTTTAAATAATATAATTGTCAATCTCCTTTTAACGAAATAATTTATATTACAACGAGTTTATTTGTGGAAATGCTTTCGTATTAACTTAAAAACAACAGAATTTTAACAATCTAAATTAATAAATTTATTTGGCTTTGTGTTTTCTCTAGGTATCGTTTAATTCATTAGCTTTTTTACCGATCGGATTGCACACAAAATTTCTCATTTCAAGTTTTCAACAAAAATGCTTTCCCCATGTTATATAGAACCGTAAATAAACTATTTTTAGATATCTATACCTAAACTTGTCTTTTATATGGGTGTTTGTCTGTGTGTCTATGCACTCGTGTATCTCAAGTTCGGCTGAATTGATTTTAATGAAAACTTATATCTGAGTTTACTTTGACTGCATAGAAATTTATCAACTTTTGGATTTCAGCTTTACGGCGGTCAAACCTTTACTGTTTTAACTGTTTTTAAGAAAATAATTAACGAATTTGGTTCAAATTTTGTATTCAATCTATTGCTTCTTAAAGAAATTTTTGTCCGTAAATAGAGGAAAATAGGGAAAATTAATCGATTATAGTGCATATTAACAAACTATTAGTATATTAGTAGATTAGTATATTAGTAAAGTAACAAACTTGTAAACTTCAACTTTCACTCGGAGCCATTTTTATATTTTTAATTTAAATAAGAAAATTTCTTATTTAATTAATACTTGAGTTCTCTTTGTGAAGAAAACTAGCTTAAGAACTTTTCAAGGTAATTTATTTTTAAAATTTTTAATGGCAAATGAATTCGCTACTAAGAATAAAATTTATACTTTTCTAGGTACATTAACTAAAGCCTTTGTTCAATCTTTCATAGAATTTGAAATATAAATTGAAATTAAATCTTCATAGTCCCATGCAGCACCTGAACAATGGGGCTGGTTATGTATATGCTGGACACATCTGATTATTTTTTTCTTTTCTTTATTCTTGGTATTATTTTTTAATTTCATCAAGAAAATTTCATGTTACTTTTAAAGTATTTTCTCATTTCTTCATTTTAAGTACACATATCTACACTTGCATTTTTTCAATCACCGTTATTATATGTACGTATATGTATATAAGACATAATTTATTACACCTATTAAATTAAAAGTTCCACTGGGATTTACGTGTGGTCACTTATCCCTTTAAAATTAAAATCGATTTAAAATAAAAACAACAAAAACTAACTGAAAATAATAGAGCTATAAAATTTTAAATGCATGTACGTGTTCACATTATATATAGAGAATTTATAAAGGTGTACTATAAATATTTAAGTAAAATATTAATTTTACATACGATCGAAACCTAAAAACCTTAAAACATTAAAATACAAAATGTTAAACATTAAAAAAATTTTTAATGTTTTATTTTTTTCAAAACAATTTACTGAGAATTTATATATTATGCTTAAGGTTATTTACATTTAATCTATGATATAGAGAAAAAAAGAGAGAAGAGTAAAATGCTTATACTACAAAAATAGCACAAGAAAAACAAAGTAAAAAAAAAAGGAAAAATAAAATAAATAATAAATTTGTTTACATCCTTTTTAAAGCATTAAAACAAAAAAATAAAAAAATGAAAAAAAAAACTCAGGTATAGACGTATAGAATTTTCTTGCTCTATTTTTCTATATGTATTTTTCTTTTCTCTTTTATTTACTATTATGAATTTTCTTTTCATTTTCTTTTTTTTTCTGAAAAACACACATTTTTTTTATGCATACTTTACATTTTCATATAAATGTCATCTTTTTACATTTAAAATAAAAAAAACAAAAACATAACACTCTTTACACAACATACAAGCGAAAATATCTAAGAAAAATATTTTACCTAAATAGAATTTAATACATAAATATTTGAAAAATGAGGACATGAGAATTTAAAACCCAACAAATAAGCGTAGAGAAGAAAAACTGCTAATAATGGTGTTTTAAAATTAATATAGAACATTTCATTAAAACTTTTATTAAATTACTTAAACCCTCCTTACTTATTGACTACCAATAAATTAGAATGCATGGAACGTCTAACTAGCACCCAAACATAAAAATCATTAAATGAAAGTCTTTGTTAACGCAAGAGATTATAATAGTAAGTAAGAAAGAACAATTCCTTTCTTTTAGTTCTGAAATTTTGAAAAGTAATGACTACGACAGACTCGGTTTTTGAAATGAATTACTTGAAAGCATACAAAGTATCGTGTGTATTCTGTTGCTGAGTACGAAAATAATTGAATCCAAATCTGAATTTAAAACCTCAAATTGTTATTCTAAAAAATGTTATTAATAAAAATGGAATTTATTTCCTGAGGAAAATATTTTTCAAGGTAAATTTAAATTCGAAAAACATAGCAAAAATAAAAAAAATTGAAAGGAACGTGAAAAAAATTAGAAAAAAAAAACTATACATACGTACAATTTTCTACCGCATAAACATTTTATCTTGATGCGTATTTCAAAAAGAAACTTTTTTCATAATACTTTGTCGTTTACAATAATATCATCACCTACATCTCTACAATTACCATTTTAAAAGAAAGTTAAGGATGAACTTATTTTTAAAAAGAAAGCGAAAAGGAAAATATTGTATTTTCACTGCATTAAAAGTTTCAAAGTTCTGACACAGTTCTAAAGAGTAATGTTGCGATTTTTCTTTTTTTGTTTCTATTTGTTTTTCTTTTTTCAATAATGTAAAGTTTCACTTTCAAAATTGAGATTTTCTTTTATTTAGATAATATTATCCTTTTTAATATATGACATCCTTTTATTTTCACTATTTGCTTAGTTTAACTTTTGGTGCCATCGATGATGTAATATATAATTATTATTATGAAAAAATTTTGTGTTATGCCACAACATACAAAAATAAAGAGAAAAATAAAAACAGAGAGAAGCACAACATACAATAATAAAGAGAAAAATGAAATAGAGAATTCCCAATGGTAATTATTAAAAGTGATAAGATATTATGAAAGGAAAGAAAATAAAATATGTCAGTGCTGTCGTATTGATATTGAAAATAATAACAACAATATTGTATACATGTATATCAATATCGTGTAATATAAAATTTATCTATTTCTTAAAATACTTACAAAATATTAAAGTTTTTAATTTTTTATATGTATACATATAAATATATAGTTAGTGAGATTGGATCAGAGAGCTTAAAATAAAAATGAAAATATAAAAATAAAATTTAAGATGAAAAAAATATTGAAATTATAAATATAATATTAAGTTCAGAGACGTGTTGAACACGCTACAGGAATATCTATGTTTCGTGTAATAAAATAGATAATAAAAAAGAAAAAACAAATAAAATAGTAGCAACAAGGAAAAATCTTGAATATTGGGAATAATGTCGATTATAATCATTGTTAAGGGGGTTTGTGTATTCGATAAAATGTGCTCACATGAATTCAAACCGAAGAGAATAGCTAAATCTGAGATAACGATTCCTCTGTTATTACTATTATTATTTTTATTTTTTTTTTTTTATTTAAGGACGATATTATCTTTATTTGAATTGAATTTGTTGTTCGAAGCAATACTACTTGTATTTATATACATATGTATATATATAATATGTACAATTTATACAATAAGGGCAATTTTGTATTGTAAGTTTAAAATAAAATTATTTTTATTTAATAAATGTATGTTTATGGTAAAACTTTATAATTAAAAGTTAGTTATTTAAAATTTTGAGATTATTTTTAAAATTTCAAAGAGTATTTTAATATTTAGTTGATTAATATTTTAATAATTAATTTTAAATAAAAAATTTTGAGTTTCCACCAACTAAATTCTAATTCTGTCAGTAGAATCAGTAGAATATGAATTATATTTGGCTTATCTAAATTTCTATTAAACAAGTAATGGAAAAATGTCGAATTATTTCTGTAAGTACATGCGTACACTTATGAACAATAGATTGGTTGAATGTTGTTATTTATAAATGTGAGAATGTTAAAGCAATAAAAGTAAGTAAATTCAAATAGTGAATTTGGAGAAGCTCAATGAATTAAATTTGGAAGCTCAATTAAAACTTCGAGGAAAATATACTTTGCCTATAAATATTTGCTTATTTTTAATTATTTCCAATTATTTATTAATTTACGCAATTTTGTCAAACTACTCATTTCCTTATTAAACTTTAAGTTCCGAAATATTATAAAAATAACTTAAGATATGCGCATACATGCTTATTAAAAATTATTCATATTAAAAATGAAAACAGCAATAATATTTTATTAAATATAGTGAAAATATAAATATTTAGATAATTTTCATTTTCTAAAATTCTATTTGACTTCTACAAAAATTGAATGCTTTTTTGAAATGCTTAAGTATAAAAAATTTTGAGAATTTTGTTAATATTTCTAAATTTTTATCAAACAAAAACTTGAAACTCCCTAGAACTTTTTCAAAATATTTGCTCGAAATTTCTCCAAAACAATGAGTTTTAAACAAATGAATTAGAATTTTTCAGATTTAAATTCCTAATGATAAATCTGGAATTGTGATTATTAAAAATCCGATTCGTGTATAAACTCATTCCATATACAAATCATTATTTCCAATCACTTTGCCCGTGCAATTATATTTTTTTTCTTCTAAATTTTTACATGATTTAATATTTTAACCAAAAAGGACCTTGAAATGATTTTATTCTTTTGTATTTTTATTATTAGAAAGGTTCTTACATCACTTTATAAATCGTTTAGCTTAAATAA